AAATGGAAACTTATGCCCCGTGACTTGCCTCTTTGAGTAACTACCATAACGGGGAAGTTGTACTTTAAAAAGGGCCACTGTCAACTAGTTCTCCGACTGTGAGTGTAACGTGGTACTAGATCAAATAATCATATGTAAATTAATCTTTTAAAGAAAAAATCAAATTTAAGTTCATTAATCATTATCGTTATTCTTTCTAGAGTTCAAATATGATAGATCACCTCTTAGGAAGACCCTCCCCTTCATGGAAAAGAATTCAAGTGTTTCTTGTTTCGCTTACCTGGTAAGGGCACTTTTCAAAGTTTGTTGTAGTTAAAAATTTCTGTTAAAATTCATAAAGGTTTATATGATCTTGTCTTTAGGTTTTTTTTCTTATTTAAAATTGACCGTCGAGGTCCAAAATTTCTTCATATATGGAATGAAAAATTATGTAAGTTTTTTTTTTTTTTTTTTTACGTTTATTTATTTACCTTTTGTTTTGGTTTAGTATTTATTCACTATTTATTATTAAAACAGCAAGATTCTCTCCATTTCAACTTGTGGCCGGAACTTTGGCTGCATTATACATTTTGAAAAATGCTGATCGTATGATAGGACTTGGAGGTATTTTTATACTCAGATTACTCCACGTTATATAATTAGGTTTTTGTTTTTTTTTTTTTTATTCACTTATGAATACGTTTCGTTCTAAATAAATAGCACCCGAGCCACTTGCACGACTGGTAATGTGATAGATGACATAATCTTTTTAATATAATTACCTTGTAATATACATTGTTGTGCTATTTGACATATATAGTATAGTCGAAGTTATTACCGAGCCACGTGGGTTCTTACTGCGTTAGACGCCGGTTTTTGGACTGCGATGCCAATTCGTCCAAAACCAATTCGAGATATCATGTGCATTCTGTTTTCAATTTATTACCTAATATTTGCTGATCAAGCGGACGAAAAGGTATTTAATTTTATTTAGTCATTATAAAAAAATATTCCTTTTTCTAAATCAGTTAATATTTTTATATTTTATTAATTCAGACTAGACGAATACGTGCAACAATTACTGTCGAACATCTTCGTACATCATGGGAAAAATCTTTAAACCCTTATTTACGCGCGTTAATAAGGCTTACATATCCACATGTTACTATTCATCAAAAAAAAATTATGATTCCTCGACCTGAAAATAGTCAATATTGTTCAAGAATGGTTACTGGTTATATATATTACGATGGTCCTTTAGAATCATTCAAATATTCTGATACCTTAATACTCAATTTCCCTGGTGGTGGTTTCATTGCCATGCCTCCTCCATGTCATGAAGAATATTTAGCTCAATGGGCTAAAACGACTCAAGTACCTATTTTAAGTATTGACTATGGAAAAGCTCCTGAATATCCTTATCCTTATGCCATAGAAGAATGTTTTGATGTTTACCGAAGCGTAATTGAAAGTAATGGTGAAGTAATTGGAATGGCTGGTTGGAAAGATAAGGATGGTAACCAGAGGAAACAAATGAAAATAGTTTTGATTGGTGACTCCGCGTAAGTTAAATGTATTTTATTTTCTATTTTATTGATATTTATTTTTTATGCAATGATAATTAATGTTTAATATTATTAAGTGGCGGGAATCTTGTTGCGTCAGTCATGTATAAAATTCTTGAATCTCAAATGCCCATTCCCCACCCTAATGGTTTGATTCTCATTTATCCATGCCTTAATTTTGATATTACTTGTTGGATGCCACCATCTCAGCTCTCGGTTATTAGAGCTGAATCTACGACTTCGATTCCAGGAGTACTTGAATCTAAAGATCATCTGAGTCATAAGAGCCCTTTATCTGTTGTTCCAGATGTTAAGAGAAAAAGATGGAGAAAGAGTTTTTCAAGGTCGACAGACGATGAAAGAACAATAGAAGAACGTGTCCAGGTGATTGAGGGTCATAATGTCACTGGATCTAATGAAAAACTTCCACGTCCGGTTATTGGAACTCGTTTAACAATGACCAGTCGTATGAGTTTCTTTAATGATAGAATCATTAACGCTGATTTGGTAAAGTATGATTACTGATTGTATTTTGTATATATATTTAAATTCTAGTTTTGTTTATTTTTTATTTTATTTTTTATTTTTTTTTAGATGCGTGCATTGGCAATTCTCTATATTGGTCCTAATAATTACCCTGATTTCAGCCGTGAGCATCTTCTTTCACCTATTGTTGGACCTGATGAATTGCTTGCACAATTTCCAAAAACGTATCTAATGTGCGGTGAAAAAGATCCGCTCGTTGATGATACTGTTGTATTTGCAGGACGTATACGTGATGCTAAGAGAAGGAAAAAGCAGTTAGGAAATAGTGGGAGATTTGGTGAAAGGCTACGAATAAGCAATCTGAACAATGGTACTGTTGTATCGGAAGATTCTGAAGACTGGGTTGAAGTGAAAATCATTCAAGGTGCTAGTCATGCATTTTTACAGATGCCATCACTATTGCCAGAGAATAAAGGTGCCATCAGAGTTTGTGCTTTATGGTTACATGAATGTTGCCAAAATAAATCATCGGACGATATAAACACAAACTGTACAGAATTAATTCATGAAGATGAAGGTTTGACATTCACTTCACGTCATTCAAAAAATAGTGGTATTTCTAATTTTAAAGAAAATGAAAACGGAGATTTGGTTGTCCAAGAACCAGACCAAATCCAAGATTCCACAACAATAAATAATTTACATGTATCACAATCAGTTCCAAACTTATTACCACAATCAAATGATAATATACAAAAATCAACAACCACTACAGTTTTGGCACATGGACACGAACTTTGGGAACAAGCAAATATATTAAATGAGAATGAAATTTTAAAAAGACGACGAGAAACTTTGGTTAGAAATTTAGCAGAAGGCTGTGGCACTACCACCACCCTCGAACAATCTGTATCGGAAAAAGTAACTAAATAGGGATATTTAAAAGATTTTAAAATTAATTTTTGAATTTTTGGAATATTAATTTTATTTGTATTATTTACTATATGTTTATAAAATAATAAAACAGCTATTAAGAAACAAGACTAGATGGGGCCCTATGCACATTGTGGCTCCTTTGATTAACCAATAAATTGCAATATTAGGTATAACAAAAACAAAGAATTTTTTGAAATCACCATTTAGGGCAGTGATATTTATTACGTAATATCATTTACTATAGAGCTACCCCTTCCCCCACATAAGACCAATTGTGATTGGCCAATTAATCATATATTATGTTTATGTGTAGTACACATTAGAGCTGCTGGTGAAACTAAATTGTGCTGGTGAAACTGGTGACTATCTAAAATCTGATTGGCTATTGCAATCTGGGAATATACCAAATTTGGTCATCGATGATCTTACCTTATTT